GCGCCTGCCTACGCCCTGACGGCGAATACCTGGACACTAAGGACTGTTGCTTGAGCTGCCACACCGCCGTGCTTCATATCACTTTCATGTTCTTTGATCGATGTCCTTCCTTGCCTTGCTGTTGCTCGCGGGATCCCGAGTGTGCGCAGGAGATGGACAAGCTCACTGGCTCCGTGCGCGTGTTCGCACGCGCGAAGCCGGAGGACGCTGCAGGGAGCGATGTGCAGACGGGCTGAGTGGGGCTGAGCAATCTACGGCCCGCCGTTCGCAAGATGCTGAGCGGCGAGAGCCTTGCGAGAGCCCTGTGAGGACAAGCTGGAGATTGTGAAGAGCATTCAGCGACAAGGCGGGAGATTCGGACATGGCGGAAGTGGTGGCGTCAGGAAGGTCGCCAGGCCTGTTGCAGAACCCGGGGCCCCTGTCAGGACAGGTGGCTGCGATGACAGGCGATGGTGTGCCTTGGCAGCATTCTCACGCAACCAGACGGCCCCTGCTCAAGCCAATTGGTGCTGGCTGCTTGAGCCACTTCTCCACGACTGGTGCCAAGGTCAATGATGCCCCTGCCCTCAACCAAGCAGACATCGGGGTGGCGATGGGAATCCAAGGGACCGAAGTTGCGAAGGGTGCCTCCGACATGACGCTCCGCGCAAAGGTGCAAGCTACACTGCCAGTCAAGTCTGGAATCAGGAAGAGCTGTTCGGCAGTTTGGGCAGGGCCGCTGGGCCCCTACATGCGGCAGACATCCGAGGATTCTGACAGATGATAACTTCTGCTCGATCGTCGCTGCTGCTGGAATCTAAGAGGGCTTGCAACGACACGGTGAGACGAAGAATCTAGCCGCGCCGGCCTGTGTCGCATGTGCCTGGTAGTTTGTCAACAGTTTGCCAGCAGATGACGCTCAGACTTTCCACTTCCTCGCTTGAGGTCGAGAAGGGCCGAGCCATCTATGCGGGCATCCAGAAGTTCGTAGCCTTCATCATGTCTGTCCACATAGCTGAGGTGGGATTCCTATTGGAAGCCCGAGTGAATTCGGGCAGCAGCACCACAGCAGTTGCGCTGCCTGCTTGTAGGTGATGCAGATCTTCATCTGCATTGTGGTGGGAATTCCCGTGCCTTGGCTTGACAATGGCTGGTCTTGCGGATGGGAAGGTGGCAGTAGTGGTTTGCAAAGTCTTAGGCAATGCAGGGTGCTTGGAACGGCAGTGTCTTGCAAAATGTAGAAATCTGCCAGCCAAGTGCAGGTGATGCGGACGCCGCTGCAGATCCTGTTCCTGATCCTGGTCACCGACCTGCCCCCTTCCATCGCTTTGGGTGTCGAGCCAGGCGTGGGGCCTGCGGGTCGTACAGGGACAATTAGGCTTTTCTTGAGAGGTGTTAGGTGATTCGAGCATATTCTCCCGAAATACTAGCTGGAGGTGAGGCCAACATCCTGAAGATGCGCCCGCGGCCGAAGGCGGGGCTCTGATCAGGTTGGAAGCGTTGCTGGCTGCGCAAGCTTCAAGAACTACGGGAGAAGTAGTTTGGGTGACCTTGATTGCCAAGGCAGTTTCAGACAGGGCAGAGATTTCAGGTTTGCAGAGTGAAAAGTTCTTGAAAACTCGGGACGAAGTCTTGCCTATGGGGAGTGAAGGCCCCATGCGGACTTTGCGAACTGGGTAAAGCTTGACACTCCTTTTCACGCAGGACGAGCCGATCGTGTTGAACTGGCCGCTTGGAGACACACTCTTGAGCTAGTGATGCGTGGCTTTTCGAACTGTCCAGTC